GCAGTACTCCAGGTGGGGTCTCACCAGAGCGGAGTAGAGGGGCTGCTGGCCACACTTCTTTTGATGCAGCAGAGATCTGAGCAGGAAGGGAGGGAAAAGGCAAGTTTAGGACCTCCTTGGTGTTTATCTCAACTGTGGCACTTAAACTCTCCTGCCTGTGTGCCCAACTCAAAAATCACTTCATCCCTCCCAATAAGTAAGCCAACTCCTCTCTCCTCAGCCCGTGGGGATCCAAACTAAGCTTAGCTTAGAACCCCTGGAGAGCCAAGTGATTAAACAGAGCCTCAGGGGACCAGCTCACTCTTACACATTGGGAGGTTTCTTGCAGGGAGTGTGCAGCAGAGCCAGGAAGCAACAAGAGACCTTGGTCCCTACCCTGCTGCACTTGGCCCCTGCCTTCTTGCTGTGTCCAGAGATTTAATGTAGAAACAGGAAACAACGTAACCTCCCCCCCTGGCAGATTTGGGTCAGCAAATGGGCATGATTAGGCACAACGGCTGCCTGCACAGCAGTCCTGTGCTTGGGAAAGCCTGCAGGTTAACAGTGAGATATACCACAGGACCCCCCACCTCCCAATCCTCAGCTTATTACTGGAGTAACACGTATTTACTGGAGATATGTATTTACCTTGAAAAAAACTAATTTTACCTGGTCAGGTCTCCTGTGGATTAAGTCATTCCAGAAAAAGTGCACACCTACATTTGTGTTTGCAGAGTCAGGGCCTTACTAAACCACATGGCTTGATACGCATATAAAGCATGCCTTGCAGGCCTGAAGAGGCTGGAGCTGGACTTTGTAGCTGCGCCAACTGAAATTTCCGTATGACTCATAAACAGTCAGCTAAGTAATGAGCAGACTGATGGTGGCTCAAAGAGCTAATGAAGCTCTGAACTGCAGGACTGTGGATCTATTGGCGCTGGACGAGAGGTTTCCAAATAGCGAAATTTCCAAAGAAATTTCCAAAGGTGTCTAGCATGAACTATTAGACACATCTATACTTGGAGCTTAAGTACTTGGTCAGTATATATATGGACTAAGCAATTAACAAGTAAAAAGAGCATGAAAAGACACAAACAGAAGAAGGTGACAGGACAGAAAATGTGTGAGAGACTGGGTGATTCCCATAGCAGGAACTGATCAAACGTGTGTAAACAGAAACTGTCTCTTGGAGTTCAGGCTGCTGGAATAAAGAAGGTAGAAGAAAACAACATTCCAAACCTTTGCAATTCCTATGTTTGTCCTGTGGGAAAGCTTTAAACTTAACACTGTGGCTTAATGCTCCCTCTTCAGCCCTGTTTTGGCTTTTCTAAGAGATGCTGTCAGGCTAATCCTGTTATGCTTATCCTTGGCATATTAACATGAAAGATAAGTGAAACGCAAGGCGGAGTGGGATCCCTTTGCCTCTGTGCTGAGCTTTGTGGGACCGTTGCTGCTTATCAGAGCAGCTGGTTTTCCGCCTTTGCCCCAAGATCTGATTGTATACACAGTTACCCTGTTGTATGGGCCAGGATAAGGCTTCTCAGGCTATAAGAAGAGTACTTTCTTGTGATGTGATTCCAAAATGCCTTACAGATTATGTGCAAAAAGTCACCTGTCCACTAAGAGACTGCTGCCAATACAACACAGGAATAAGCCCCCAGGCAGAGTCTATTTTGCGTCCTCCCTCATCTCATGCCACCTCAGGATATCCCCATTATTTACTTTTTATTTACGCTGCAGTTTTCAGCAGTTACTTGCAAAGGGTGGCTGCTCCCAGGGCTTTCATTTAGAGGCAGGAGAGATTCTGACAAAAACAGGGGGATGAGGTAAAATTAGGAATTTTGTGGAAAGTTTGGTCTAGTTTGGGTCTGGTATCGGACAGGTTTAAAAACTAACAACATGCCTCTCTAGACTGTAAGGCTCTAGGTCTTTCAACAGGACATTTAGATATTGTGCAGAGAGACAACAAAAGACCATCCAGCAATAAAACACACCCTGGTGCTTACTGTTGTCCAAGAACAACCTGCTCAAACTCTGTGACACTTTGTCATGGTTGAAACAAACGTCCACCCTGTTCCTGCTAAAAAAGATGTTACAATGAGCTAGCTGTGGTATCAATTTATAGCAGGGGAAATGAGTAATAGTTTCTTTGGTCAAAGCTGCAGAGAGATTAGTTCTGTAATGCACTAACATCCAGCTGGAACCATGCCAATGCACAAGGATTAAAAGCAACCAAATTACTAACTCTAGTGAAAAGGATGCATGGGACATTATTAAAATAAATGTTTAGTTCTACAAATATAAGTACAAGGTGAGAACATGCCCTCTCTGAAAGCACTACACTGGCCCCAGACATTGGGGAAGCATCTCCCCTTTTTCTCCTCCCTGCTCTACCTTCTCTGATCAGCTGGACTCTGGCTGCTAAAGAGGTAAAAAAAAAATCAGACTGGAGATGAATTGATCCTGTGCTGCCTCCAAAACATGGGTTCCTGATCAACTCTCTCCCTACTTATAAACCTCCCGCTTATATCACCATGGGGGACAAGCTTCTCAGCACTTCCTGAGCAGCGAGAAAGGGAGGTCACGCTACAATCAAAGACTGAAGAAAGGAGGATGAATCTCCTGCAGAGTCTGAAAAAAAAAATAATTTCTCAACACAATCATTTGTAAGACAGCATTTCTTTATTGCGTGTACTCCACTTGCGCACTAAGAAAACATGCTTAAGGTTGTACATTAAAAACACCCACATGGTAGTTCTTGCTGTTGCAATATGACAGCACTGATAAAGGTGCTGCTCCATATTTGTGTGTCAGCTGTATTTCATGCCTTTGTCTTTCATGTGCTCTGTATACAGTGTGGGAGGTGCGTGCTCAGACCACATTAGCAGACTGGCTACTGCTCTTTTCCTTCTGCAGCAACTTCCCAAATCCTGCTGCTGCAGGTAAGTAAATGTTAGCATTACTGATGTACCCTGACCAAAGATGCCAGTTCTTAGTCAGCGCCACTCCTTATTAACCTGCAACTGGAGCATGATGCAGAGGAATCATTGAGAGCAGCTCCTCCAACTCAGGTAGTGGGTTTGACCTATTCAACAGGAGGTAACGTCTGTGCTTCTTCGTGCCCACATTGGCTAGAAAGCCAGAAAGCCACATCTGTGTTCAGATTACAGGTGCTTTCTGAAAACAGAGATTTCCCTTCCCAAACATCGTTTCTTGCAAACACAAGCCGTTCCACTGGCAGCCTGGCTGGTGTTACTCTAGACTCCACACCAGCAGCCCTGGTTCCTTCTGGACCTTTTCTAACTTTCTGCTTCCCAGACTCTGGAAGGCATTACTGTAATGAAACACAGCATGAACCACAGCCAGCCAGCAGTAAGGACTGAGCAGGAGCTTATTACTTTTAACTATTCCTTTTAGTCAGGAATCCTGCTCTTCTGGAGAAAAAGTTCCTCTTTCCTATGAGGAGTAAAGGGCACTGGGAGGAACCACAGAAATTCTTTGTAACACTGATGGGCTGTAGGTGACTCAGAGCACTTTTCCTGCACGGGATATTCCCAGAGAAATTTGTGCAATAAACAGACATTCAGGGTAATCGCCTTATCCCAAGAGAGGAAAGACAGTGGATAAATATAGGCGTTCCCTATGCTGCAAGGCTGGGGGGAATGAGTCACAACTGTAGTATCACATCTTGTGCCTAAAATGTCGAAGTCACATACAGAAACGGGCTTAAAAAAGAAAGGGAACAGAGCATTACAAAAAAAGCTCACTTAGTCCCACAAGGCTTTAAGAGCAACTGAGCTACAAAACAGAAAGCATCACACCCCAGAGAACACCAGGGGCTTCATGCCCAGGCACAGCAGTAGCTATGCCGAGAGGCACACGTTTGGGGCCAGTTCCTACCTCAGCCCATCCCTCCCCTCACCCTGCGTTGCCCCACTCCTTAGTGACAAGGCGGCCCCTTCCCAACAGGACCAGGTTCGGTCCTGCTCTTTCTTAGGCCCTTCACCAGGAAAGTGAGGTTATTGCACAAGGTCACTGCAAGAGAAAAAGCTTCACAAAGTACGTTTCACACAGGCAGCTGCCTTATGCTTCCAGCTCAGGTACATCTGAAAGCACTGTGGTCAAGCTAGCAGGGTGGGATCTTTCAGTACTACAGATAAGTCTGTTCCTAGTTGCTGGAGGTTCTTCAGGAAAGGATAAAAGAATGGGAGGAAACGGGCAGCATTCAGCCTTAAAACAGGCTGTATACGGCGCCCCTAGTATGTACAGCCCAGCTCCTGCAATGGGTTACGAATCAGCAGCACGTGCCAGCGCCTATGAGTCCCAGGAGAACTGCTCTGTATTTGGCAAACAGTAAGAGAGGGACAGTAACAAGGTCCTTTAGGGTAAGAAAGCAAAGAAAGCCACTGCAATGACTCGTTTTATCAATTCATACTATAGCCACATATGGAATCAGTTGCCTACAATATTGGCAAGTCAAACCTCAAAACCAAGAGGATTTCCCGCTAACTGAAACAGGCTTTCAGCTGGGCTCTGCTGTTACAGAACAAAGAGGTGATGCTGCTCTTTGAGACAAATGGATACTACCTAGAGCTAGCCCAAATTTAAAATAATTTTTTTATCTTTTACACTAAAATTCTATTTAACACAGCACCCACTGTGTCCTCCACTGTCTGCTGCTAGGCCACTTCTTGACCAAAAAGAAAAGGAGCAAGACAAAATCTTCCCTTTTTCAGGGAAGCAACCTCTCCAGACAGAAGACCCAGTTTGTGCTATTAGCCAAATTCCCCCAAAGAAGCAGAGGCCTCCAGAGACCAGGGCTGCATGCAGAGTTGGGAAAGGGAACAATGGAGATCATATGCACATTTTGGCCTGATTTAGTGCCTTGAAATTCCCAGATGGGGAAAAGCTGCAGCTTCCCCAGTGCAGAGCTGATACCATCAGATTTGGCTTGCTCAAAAGGAACCCCAGCTTCATGAAACAGTGTTGGCACATGTCTCTTGCTGACATATTGATGTGCCTTACATGCAGCACCCTTTCCTCCTGGTGACATCTTCCAGCTGCAGGGCATTCTCCCTCTGCCTGTCTTCTTGTGCTGTCAGCAACCTGGAACAAGCAGCACAGATCAAGAATACAACCTGGTTACTGAGATCTTACTGCCAAGGCATTTGGCTCTGCCCTTTGCTCCCCAGCAGCCAGGAACGTTTAGGATTTTAAAAAGTGACTGGCCCAAAGACCAGGCTTCTCTGGAAGCTGGGCCAGATAAGCCACACACAGAAAATAAGCATGAATTTCCAGGGAACAGGGAAAGAAACTGAACACATACAAGAGGGGACAGTGTAGCTTAGTAGTCAGAGCACTAGACCCAGACGTGAGTGGTCTGTGTCTTATTCCCAAGCTACCTCATTGACAGCAGAATCCCAGGCTGCTTGCCTCACCTGCCTGGGCCGTGTCAGGCAGCAGCATGGTAATAAAGCACACTGAAGGCATATGCTATGGGAGACACGATTTACCTAGCTAGTAAGTAAATCATGCCAGTTAATGAACAGCTAAGCCCTGCTGTGAATTTAACAATGATGCAGCAGGAGGTGAAAGGATAAAAGAAAACAAAAGGATATTTTTCATGCAAGATTTCAAAGACTTTTTTCAAAACTACTTCCTTTTTTAAAAACTAAAAATCTTGCATAATATAATACAATGCTTAATAACATAAGGAAGAAAAAAAACCCTTAGAGATGTGTGTAGACTTCAAACTGAAAATGCCAACTTAAAATCTGAGATAGTGCGCAAAGTTTTTGTGATATTCAAATTAAACTCGCAGTCTTTCAACAGCCAGCTCTACCAAATAAAGCTTTGCATGCAATAACATCCACTTTACACTTGGTGCTTTCCAGGCACAGAAGACAAGGACCTGGAGTTAGGTGGAAGAGCACATTGCTCCGGGTCTTTTTTTGTGACATGGCACTAAGTCAGTCTCTAACAAGCCCCTTTTCTTGCCTGTTGCCCAGGACAGCCCCCACCAGTCACCTACAGCTGGGGAAATATTCCAGGGTGACTGTTCGTCTTCACTGACCTGGCCATGTGCAGCATGGGCTCCATGATGTTATAGCCAGTCATCGCACTGCACTCATAGAAGACAGCCTTGTATTCCTGCCAGAGAGCACAGCAAGCACCCGTGTTGGCTGCCAGCTCTCCCCCACCATTCACCCACACCCTTGGGAGCTGGCCCACCCTGGCCGCTGAGAACTCTGCCAAGAGCAGTGGGGAACAGGAGGGTGGCTGTTACCACCCTGCTGGGGGGCACACCCTGCTCACCAACACAGGAAAAAGGAGATGCTTTTTCAGCATTGGGGGCCCAGCCAGGGCGTCCAAAAGGGAATACCGGGTTATTTGGGAACAGAAAACATCCTGGAGTACCCTGAGTACTTGGATTCTCTTACTTTTGTGTTGCTGAGTCCAGAAGATGGGGAACACCTCTGAAACCCTGCCTCCTCCCACCCAGGGGCCAAAGTACCAATGGGCAGGGAGTGAGGAAGGAAGCAGGACAATTTTGCAGAGCATGCATTAGGGGAGTCCTCAAATGGGAAAACAGTGGTGCATGCTCCCTTCAGAAAGACTGAGCATCACTGTAAGGAGGCATCAAGCCTCAAGAGAAATACACGAGCATGCCTCAGGGGCCATTGTCTGCCACATGCTGGCCACCACCTCATCCTCCCTGGTACCAGAGCGACCTCAGTACATGACTGCATTGGAGAAACAGGGGGTATGGGAGGGAGAGGGAAGGTACCATACTGGGAAACGGCTCCAAGAAGGGCATCCTGCCAGTCAGGCTGCCCTGCTCACAGCTGGAGGGAGGCTGCAGAGCAGGTTGAACAGCAGACCACGGAGTCACACCTTCGCCAGCCTTTCCCCCTCCACCTTGGGCACATTCCGGGTCTCTCCCTGCACAGCATCCATTTTATTTCCAAGCAGAAACACCACAGCTCCATCCTCAATACCTTCCTGCAAAAGAAACAGAGTAAAGTACCCTAGAGACTCACCTGAGGGAGGGAGATATCTTGGAGCATATCCTGTTCCAGCTCATGCAAACAAGATCTTCAGTGGCAGCAGGATCAGGCCCTTTAGCTCATTAAAGGGCCACTCCTTAAATAAAGCCCCAGGGATTTGTAGAAGGAAGCTTAAACTACGGGAATGTATTTCAGATGTTTGGTATGTACAGCTGGGATGCTGAGAAAGGGGAGACAGGACATGAGTCCATTCTGGGAATAATGAGCCTAAAGAAAAGCAGTTTGCTGCTGTTTGGAATTTAAGTTCACGCAGAGCTTCTTAAGTTCAGTAATTTTCATGTGTGTGTGGTCCTATTCATCTTGTGTGCTGTCCTAAACTCAGCCATCCCTTGCTGAAAATCCACTGGCCAAGCAAGCTAAGCAACTTTCAACTCTTGTATAGGGTCTCTGTAGGAACTCTTACTCCTAGGTGATTCTTGGAGTCCATTACCTTTAGTAAAACTCCCTCAAGTTCCACTGGCTCACTAGAACATCACCAGGGTAAGGACTGCAGAACGGGGCTCCAAGTTATTTCTAAACTTGGCTGCCCTGGATGACTTACAGTACCTGAGCAGCTTCAAAGCAAGATAAATACTACGATGGGGAGAGGAAAATAAGAGAGATTATTAAAAGTTGCAGAATTCAGGTGCTTTGGTTTTCTGTGTGCTCAGTTTAACTTTCCTGAAAGAAGCCTGATTTTCAGAGACTGGTTAGTTTTGAAAATCTTATCCTTTGATCTTTTAGAGTCCAAAGAAATAGCTAAGTGGGTAGGGTTTTATTTTCCCCCATCAGGCCTATGGAAGTTAATGATATTAGAAACCTCCAACCTATGCTTATTCATTTCACTTAGATTTTGGTTTTTGAGACTTGGCACAATCAAAACAAAACCACCCTTGACAATTTCCCTTCAGCTCCGAGTCATCTACACACAACTTATTTAAATTACACAGACAAGTATTTTTGTCTCCGCTAG